AGAAGTTTGTTTAATTTGAAAATTTCTTTTTCAAAGTTTTCAGATTTTATTTTTGAAAGCTTTAACTCTTTTCTCAACATTTCATTTGATTTTCCAAGTTTGTTTTAGCTTTCAAAAGAAGATCATTTTTAGCAATAAATTTAGAAATCAATTTATTGTATTTGGAGTTCATTGTCTCAAACTCCGAAAATAATTTATCATAAGCATCTTGTAACTCATTAAAAGATTTTGAATTTGATATATTTGAGTTAGAAGATACCTTTGGCTCTGTGAGAGCTAATTGAGACATCACTTTTATTGGTTCTTCTTTTTTCTTGTCTCTATAGATCTCCTCAAGCTTTTCCCACATTTCCTTGGCACTTGAACAAGAAGAAACTCCTTTATATACATTAGGATTAATTACACAACACAACATATGCATAGCCTTTGAGTTTTGTTGAGCTTCCTTCCGTTCTTGAACACTCCACTTCTTTGCCTTCTTAGTAGGAGAGGAATATCCTTTCTTGATTATCATCCAAGCTTCCATATCAAATGTTTTGATGAATATTATCATACACCTGTTCCAATGGCGATAATTTGTTCCATTGAAGTGTGGAGGAACGTCAATAGGTCTGGATTCTTCCATGGAGAATGAACCGGAAGTAAACGCCATCTTTATCGATTTAACTCTTCCCGGATCAACTCAAGAGGCGATTAAACCTTCAAATGAGTGAGGCTCTGATACCAATTGTTGAGTTAATCGATTGACGGAATTGGCCAAGAGGGGGTGAATTGGTAATTAAAAATTTGGTGGAAGCTTTTGCAGAAAATTGAAAGTAATTGCACAACAATTTAGAGTGGTTCGACTTTCTCAATCAAAGTCTACGTCCACTACCTTAACTATCCACACTAAGGATTTTCCAACAAATTCACTAATTTGTTCTTTCTTTTGAGGCCAAAGAGATGACCTTACAACACCCTCAAGAATATACCCCAATTCTTGAGAACACTCTTTCCCAAAGAGAAGATTACAAATTTGCAAACTTACTAGGAAATCCTCACAAGATAGATTGTTTGCACAATTCTAGAACAAGAAAAGAACACTAAAAAATAATTACAAATGAGCACAAATGGTGTTCTTGAAAGTAAAATGAATATTGAAAGGAAAATTGGCTTGATATGCACAAACTTGGTGTTTGATGCTTTCTCTCTTGTTTCTCTATGATTTCTTATTGATCAAAGGCTTCATAACTTGTTTAAATACTCTCTCAATTTATTCTGAACGTTGGGGATGATTAGTGGAGTCAATGGAGCCGTTTAAGTGTGAAAACCATTAATAAAACAGCTTGGAGCGTGTGGGGAATCGGTGCCCCTCATGGGGAATCGGTTCCCTAAGTGTAAAATTCAAATATTCGACCGTTGAACAGTGGGGGGAATCGGTTCCCTCCGAGCATACTGGAATTTCTCGGAACCAAACCATTCAGTGGGAATTGGTACCCCCTTGGGGGGGGAATCGGTTCCCTCTGGACAAACTGTAATTTTTTGCTTTGAAACGGTTCGAAATACTTTGTAAAATTGTTTTAAAATTATTTTAATATTAAAACTTAATTTTACACTTTAGTAAGGATTTAAAATAAACTTTGAAATACTGTGAGTAATATTTTGATATTCGATTAATATATCGAATATGCTTAGAAAAATCTTTTAATTTAATTTGTTATATCGAAACATCAAAATGTTTTCAACAAAACCAAATTTGTCAAATATCTTTTAATGTATCCGGTAACGCCGTATATTAACCGTATATTAGTCCACCTTTCTGGAGACAACCCCGTAACTTCCATATTCCAATTGACTAAATGCTAACCATAACCCTAAAAACAACCTCAAAACAAGGTAAGAAAAATAGTGCAATTCCGTTGGACTTTTGGGCCCATTCCATTTCATCAGTTTCTTTAACCAATTCATATAAGCAATCCAATTCGATTTTAAATATAATCAAAATTCGTGTAACTAAGTAATTCTGTAATACAACAGTCTAATTAAAGATTAAAAAACAACAGATAATATGCACAATTGAAATTGGGATAAAAGGTATAATATTTTTAGTTGGACACAACTTAAAATGTTAATTTTAAATATAATCAACCGAAAATTGTTAAGAAAAAAAAATAACATCTTAAATTACTCTCAACCGAAAATATTATACATTTTATCACAATTTCAATTGCGCGTACCGTTGCTTAGCCTAAATTAAACGGTTATTCTTAGGCTTACACCTCTAATTATTCGACAATGGAATAGTAGCAATAAACTTTGAAAACTATATCCTTGGAAGTTGACGGAGGCAACAATAACATGTTACAGCTATTTCAAGCTTGTATATATATGATTAGCACCATGAACGACAAACCACTCACCCTCGAGGGCCCCCAGATGCCCAAACCAGAGCCGATCATGTCCTGTTCATCAGACTTTCGAACCATCGGAGTCTCTTCCTATACCGACCCTAGCCGCTTTTGTCTTTTTATGGATTTTATTTTTGGTCTCTTTCGCTTTGGTCATTATCTGGAGTGTGTATATAGCATCGAAAAGCAGGCAATCATCGACAGTCGAACACTTGTTTCCACGCAAAGGAACTGTACAATTACTTCTTAAAGAATTTATTATATGTCTGAACTCCATGCATGCATGCATTTCAATTATTGGGTGTCTTTATGGCAAATACATGCATATGCATGTTTTTTCATCTATATATATAGACTAGATAGATATTTAGATCCTTAGAATGGTTTAAAATTTATGGAAAATATATATTTTTATGAGATATAAATTTAAGGACAAACATACGATTTTATGTTAGATAAAATGAATTATAATATTTTAAGAGTAAAAATATATTATCAAGGTAAAATATAAAAAATATCTAAATTATATGAAAATTTAAATTTTTAGAAAGACAATCGCTCTCTCTCTCTCTCTCGCGATCAATTACTGACCCTAAATATATTCACGTAAGGAACTCATGATACCAACCATTCCTATAGTGCTTAGCATAAATGATGGAATTAATGGTCAAACTTTATATTTTCAATAAAGTTAATTGCATTATAAGTCCTCAAACGATGATCTCATTTTAAATTGATCTCAAACTTTTAAACATTCTAATTTCATCCCTAAACGATGACTCTCAATTTTAATTGGTCCCTATTATTTTTTAACATTCCAATAACATCCCTTAAATCACTTAAAAGTTTGGGGTTGAAATTAAAACATTCAAAATTTTGGAGACTAATATAGAATTAGTATTATAGTTTAGGGATTGAATGGAATGCTTAAAAGTTTAGGGACTAATTTAGAATGAGAATTTATAGTGTAGGGATGGAATTAGAATATTCAAAAGTTTGAGGATGTTTCATGCAATTAACTCTTTTTAATATTACAATAATAATTATATTCATTAAACTAATTAAGTCAATTAGTTTTTTTTAATATATTAATAAATTATCCTCTTTAAATATAGATGCATAATTGAAGAAAGAAAATAAGTGTCCAAAAACCAGAGTAATGGGACAATTAAGCAATGTCATAAACTTTAAACTTTGGATAACTTTGAAAGATAGAAAAATTATTTTTTACAGCTTGTTGATATTATATTATAAAAAAAAATTAGCTGACTCTATTCCCATATGTAATGGGGTAAGGGGGAGGTAGGGTAGTAGGCTACCCCCAACACCAGGTTGAGAGAAGCTTCCATGGAAGACCTCCATTATGAATTACCCTAAATGGACTCGATCCCACGACCACAAGGTTAAAACCTCCATTATGTTTATATTAATTTTAATTATATGATATACTTCTATTTTATTTAATATTAATAATCATAATATTTTATAGAATAAATTATGCATTTAGTATATAAACTATCAATTTTGATCCGTTTTAGTACCTAAACTTTCAATTTTTTTTCAAAACAATACATAGTATTTAATTTTCAATTCATTTTAGTACCTCGTCGTAAAAACTTAAGGACATTTCATTTTTTATGGGTAAATTATATCATTCATTATTCAATTATCTTCTAACTCCTATTTTGATAATAAAGTTTAAAAATTTTCATTTTAACAACTCAACTTTCAAATTGCTGCTATTTTAATCAGTCTGTTTTTTTATTAAATTTTATTGTGACATGAAATTTAGTATTATTATTTTATTAATATATAATTAAAAAAATAAATCTAAAAGTTAGAATGATTGAATTAGGTGTAATTCAAAAAATATGCAATTAAATTAAAAAAAAATTAAACTTTAGTGATCAAAATAGGAGTGAGAATATAGTTGAGTGATGAATACTGTAATTTACCCATAAAAAGGTTCCACACCCGTTATGTTTTTGGCGAGGTACTAAAATGGGAAAAAAAACTAAAAACTAGGTATAATTTTATAAAAATAAAAATTTAAATACTAAAATAAACTAAACCTAATAGTTTAAATACAAAACACGTAATTTATCCTATTTTATATTGACGGGATGTTACATTCGAGTTTGAGTTTCAACTTATATTGTAATAAGGCTTATTTTGAGATAAATTATTTTGTGGGCTCTTTTTACTACATCGTCAATGTTCTCAATCAATTAAAAAATTACACATAGATTATTTTTATGTCATTCACACACATTGATTTTATTTTTCAAATTAATTAATTTATTAATGCATATTAAAAATTAAAACTACAAATTGATATTTAGATGTAGAGATGTGATGGCTAACTTGTCGAATTCTTAACTTTGTAAAAGGTAGGTGACTATCTGTCGTTTGCTTCCCAAAGTTAATATCCGTCACGTTCTAAAATCATATATTTTAATTTTAATTTTCGTATTTATTATAATAAAATTAAATATACATTATTATAATTAAATATTATTTTAGGTCGTCACTATTTTTTATGGGTTAAAATCCATGCTTCAAGGAGATATATACGTTAGCAACCAGCGTGAGCGGATTGTTATAATCCGTCACCAAACCTCAATCCCAAACTCCGGTCTGTCTTGTGATGAATCCCTCAGTTCTTCCGGCTCCACCGCTAGCTTCTCTCCCATCGTCCCCGGTCCCAACCGCAGGTGCCAAGCGTCGCGTCGCCATCGCCGTCGACTTAAGCGAGGAGAGCGCTTACGCTGTTCGATGGGCTGTTGAGAACTACCTTCGTCCCGGTGACGCCGTCGTACTCCTCCAAGTTTTGCCGACCTCCGTCCTTTACGGAGCCGACTGGGGCTCCATCACCCCCAACTCCAAAAACAAGCACGAAAACGCGGAGGCAATCGAGGAGGAGTTCGACATTTTCGCCACGGCGACAGCGAACAAGCTGGCGCAGCCATTAGTGGATGCTAAGGTTCCGTTTAAAATCCACGTAGTGAAAGATCGTGACATGAAAGAGAGGCTGTGTCTGGAAGTGGAGAGGTTGGGACTGAGTGCGGTGATAATGGGCAGCAGACGCACAAGGAGGAGCAACAATGGAAGGCTAGGAAGCGTTAGTTACTATTGCGTCAACCACTGCATTTGTCCGGTTGTAGTTGTCCGCCGCCCAGACGAGGATGACACCGGAGTCGGCCGAGCCGAGAGGATCAAGAAAATGAAGATTGTTGAGGAAGACGTTGAACTGAAGCCGGTGCCGGAAGAGGAACTTGAGTATCAAGATGCTGAGGAGGAGCACAATGGTTAGGTTTTCTAAATTTGTAGTTTTTGTAATTCCTCATTTTATGTCTGAACGGAAAGCTCAATATAGAATATTTTATGACTTTTATCGTACTTAAGTGAACAAATAATTTAAACAATGTTAGAATATTATAATGTTAATACAATTAGTTAGTATTTGTTATTCTGTTAGGATTTGAGTTAGTTGGTTAACATATTATTATTGGGCTATACAAGCCTAGCAATGTAGTAGATTAAATCAAGCATTTTTGTAATTCATTTTCACATTTAGGAAAACACAATCACCGCCGCTCATCACTTCTTCACGCACACCTAACCGTTCTTCATTTCTTATCATCGATGGCCCCTTTCTCACATGGTATCATTCGCTAATGATCCTGACACCGTTATATCCACCACCCATGCTGGTTATCTCCTTCATCCGTGTATGCCGCTATTTTCTTCCTCACGACATTTATATGTGTTGACGATTGATGATTCTGGCGATTCTGATGTCGCTTCCCTTATTGACGATTGGCTTCAATAGTCGCAAGTTCATTTGCGTGTCTGATTCCTTTACATGTTGTTTCCCTCCATCAGTTGTTGCTAGAACATTGATCGTTTCCCATTCAACAGTAGATCTAGCGAACCTTGATCATTTTTCCACTATCACAGATTCTAGCGTGTTATCAATGTTTCATTGTTGGTTTATAGATCTCCAATAGCTCACAGTGAGAGATTCAATTAGTTTTTCACATGATTTGTCGTTTCATTTTCCCTCTTATTGATAATGCACTGGTTTGATGAAATTTCCATCGTTTTTGCACAAGATTATGTAATTTGGCTTGTGAATATTGTTATCTTGTGCATGAGTGAGATTAAGTGTGATTTCTTCTGCTGCATCTTGATTTGGAACTTGGAAAACAAGATTGGTGATTGATAATCTGCTTTGATGATTCATTTTCTGTGTTTAGAGTATAAGATTGATTCATATCTAGGTTCATTCATTTGTTTGTGCTTACCATATGTTTGATTGTTTGCTCCAAAGATATGCTTTGCTTCTCCCTCGGTTATATCTCATCTTGGTCCATTTTGGGACTCTGAGCCGCTTAGGATGGAGCTTCCAATGATTCAAGAGGCTCGTCTATTTATCTTGGTTGTTTGCACAATTTTTCCGCAAGAAAGCAACAATTTCCGATGGTATAATATTCTTGTTGATTGGTGATAGTGTGCATCCTTTCTACTGGAAGTCAACGTTGATCATGAGAGTAGAGAAGGTTTGGCATCAATTGGTTGAGTGAGACTTGTGATTTGCCGAATCATACGAGTGTTGGTTTCTTAATATTTTGATGCTGATTTTGAGCTTTAATCCTCCATTAGGGCATTTTGAAAGTCTTAAGTTGCTGATCCAAATTTTTTCACGCTGGTCACTGTTGAATCATTTTTTGGTTTGCATTACTGGTTTGTTTGCTCAAGTACTCTTTATTTTAGTTTCTTCACGGTCCGCTGCTTCTATCACAAGGTAACATAAGACTTGAAAGATTCACAACCAAGTGTTCATGACAGAAAATCTCCGGGGAGGGTTAAGAGCAATTACCAAATAATAGTAAATGTAAAGCTTCAAGCAAATAAAGTTTGGCTCTTGTCGAGTCAACTTTTCTATGTAGATGGATATAAAATGAAATTATTTACCACTCTATCATATATAAATATATATATATATATATGAAGAACCTACATTAAATATCATATATCGATATATATTATTAATACTGTATATTAATATGTAACATTGTTATCTCTATCCCACTAGCACACACGTGTCCATCCTATACCCCACAAAATATCTGGACGGTTGAAGATACCAAGTTGGTGTTGACTATTTAAGGCAAAAAGTATTATATGTCTCTATACCTTTAAAAAAAAATTATTACGGTTCTCATATTATTTTTTATTTTAATATGACCTTTCAACTCAGAAAAATAAATTTAATATGATCATTTAATCAAGTTTCGTCATTAATCATTATTGTGCTTACGTAATAGTTCATAATATTAATATGACAATTCACGATACTAATATGACATTTTAAAGTAATAAATTAACGTGATATATGATATAATATATGAACTAAATTAGTAATTTAAATATAACAAATGAGTTGTTACGTTATTATCGTGAACTACCACGCCAACACTGTAAACTGACTACTAACATATCAATACTGTAACGATCAATAATAACAAACATTGATTAAAATATTAAATTAAATTTATCTTTTGAATTGAAGAAAAAAATTAATACTAGGATTTTTTTTCCAAGAGTATAAAGACCTCTTACAAATTTTTACCATTATTTAATTAAAACTCCATCACCTAACACGAAGACCGACCATATGACATGAAAGAATTAGGATAAAATTCCTTTTTGTTTATTGTACTGAATAATCAGTGGTTGAATGAAAATATACTTTTATTAAATTCAGATACTGAATTTAAAGGTAAATTTTACGAGATAATGTTCTCAAAATAATTAATTTACGAGGTAATACTATAGTCGGATTAATTGTTGATATATGATGAATTCTACAGTAATAACATAGGCATGCGTGTGTTGGCCTCCTCACTTCACTCACCAAAAAGGACAGCTTGTTGTTTACTTCCCTGCGTGCTGTCCCCTCACTTTGTCACTTTGTCACAATCCCATGCATGCATCCCATCCAACGTTCTATTAGGGTTCGATATGTTTTGTTCAATCCAGCACACGCATGCCAGCAGCTTCTGGCGTGAAGAACGCATGGTGACCTGCTTGGTCGCGGGGCTTACATGGCGACCAAGAGGTTGCTACTCCGAATAGATGTCTTGACGACCTCCTATCTCTCCCGGAGTACATGATGACCTACGTTCTTACTGTAGAATTCACCCTATATCAGCAATTAATCCAACTATAACATTATCTCGCGAATTAATTATTTTGAGGACATTATCTCGTGGAATTTACCGAATTTAAATAACTACATTATAATTTGAATTATAATTTTCTTGATTTAATGCTTAAACCGTGTGGGGGCTCATGAAATATCACCCACAACAAAATTCCACGACTGCTAGAATAGAATGACGACGGTGATCGGTGCAACCACTATATCCAGCACCGTGTACGGCGCCGAATCGGACTGAAACTAAACTACAGCTAGAATGAAAACTTGGTACTCGCACTTGGTATTGCGCGCCTCGAATCAGACTGGGACTGAGTCAAACGAATCGGCTTCCTCTTCGAGTCTGCAGCGAATTGCCGAATGCCTGCTGTGACCATGCGTCTGTTTAGCTGATAAGTAACATAGGTCGACCTTCGAACAACAATGGCGAGAAATCAAAATCATTAATTTCAAGAAAAAAAAGGCAAACAACTTGAGAGCGAAGATTTGAAACATTTGCTCTGGACCTTTTACAGACCTCTGCTTCGGTACGAGAAGAATCCACGCTACTAGATGATCTGGCGGCCGACGGAGGTGTATTTGATATCGTACACCGTCGCAGCACGTGATTATCCTCTTCGTCTTCGTCGTCGTTTTCTGCTTGGCTCTCTTCTTGGTCGCCGCCTTTGACGCAGGTCTCACATTCGGAGACCGCACGGCCGAGCTTGAAACCGGCGGCTCTCCAGGTAGTTCGAGACTGGCAGACGTGACAAAGAAGATACCTCACGTGTCTCGCCACAAGGAAATTGGCTCCGTGAACTTTAGCGTCGCAGTGCCAGCACAAACAGGCTCGGTCTGATTCGCAATACGTCGTCGCCGCCGACATGCAGTGCTCACAGCTCTTCATCTTCTTCCTCTTTCAAACAAAATAAAACAGAGAGAAGGTGCTTGGGGAATCGGCCAGCTACTCTTTCTTTTTCCCGTTTATTTTCTCGAGAATGTGCTTCTCCTGTGAGAAATGAAAACAGAAATTCGTCAGCGGTTAATGGGTGAATTCACGAGATAATGTTATCGAACTTTTTTATTCACGATGTAATGCACATCCCAGATTAATTGCTGGAATGTGGTGAATTCTACAGTCACCTTGGAGGTCGCTATGGCATCCGGGCGACCTTGGAGGTCGCCATGGCATCCGGGCGACCTTGGAGGTCGCCATGGCATCCAAGCGACCTGTGTGGTATTTTGCAAAGGAATAGGTCGCCATGCAATCAACATGGGACGTGGGAATGCATGGGGGAGGGGATGCATGCTGTGCATGGGACGTGGGAACTGTGCATGGGCCATGCACGTCGAACGGTGTAGGTCACGGCGGCGTGGTAGGTAGGTCGCCATGGAGTCTCGGCGACCAAGGTCTGGGAGATTCCTGTAGCTGCATGCATGCGTTGCATCATAGCTGAGAGATTCCTGCATCCGTAGCTGTATGTGTTGCATCTATAGTTGCGTTATTGCAGCGTTAATTTAGCTGTCAGCCTTTCAATGCTCAATAGTTAGACGATGCAATGCTAATATTATTTGCTTCAACAATCAAATTTAATGACTTTGTCCAACGCTCAGTTGCTTTATATAAAGGATATGGGGTTTAGGGTAGAAGCACAAGCAGAACCAGAAGCATAAGCACATATAAACTTTACCGAGAGAAAGAAAAGGAAGAAGAAGAAAAGAAGATAAAGGCTCAAACATAGTTCGTGAGGTAATTTTTTTATTGTTTAATTTAGTTTATTATATGAAATTATTAGTTTGTTAGTTTCGGGTTTAGGGTAAAACTAAAATCTAGTTAATTAGTTTGTTAGTATAAATTATTAGTTTGTTAGTTTAAGTTATATTATATTAGTTTATTAGTTTAAGTTATATATTATATTATATAAAAAATTAGTTAATTAGTTTCTTAGTTTAAGTTATTAAATATAAAAAATATTAATTAATTTGTTAGTGTCTTTAAACGTATATTAGGTTGTTCGTTGAAGTTGAAGTTATATTATAAAAAAATTAATTAGTGCTTAATTAGTTTGTTATTTTAACTAAGTATATTATAATAAAGAAATAGTTTATTAGTTTAAGGTATATTATAATATATTAGATTATATAAAATTAATTTGTGGGAGCTATTGTTGTTTAAATAAATATTTTGTTTACACATACAGGACATTATTTCACAATATTTGCCCACGTACAGATTGATTCGAAGAAAGAAACAAGGCAGGAAAAGAAAGTAAAGGAAGAAGGCATAAAGACGTGAGTAATTTATTATTTTTTGTTGTCCATTTTTTGTTGTTGTGTATGTGTAAATTAGTTAGTTAGTAAGTTTATATTATATTATATAAACTAATTTGTGCGAGATAATTTCCGTTTTAAAAATATTGTGTTTAAAAATATTTAGTGTTGTTTTAAAAATATTTTGTTTAATTTACATTGTATGTGTATATTAGTAAGAAGTAAAAATTAATTAAATGAAATAATCCGGACAACGCATTATCTCGCGAAATAATTATTTTGAGAACATTATCTCGACAGTTTTACCTAACAAATTTGTTTGATATTTTTAAAAAATAAAAAATATTATCAAACTAATCATTATTATTAGTAATAATTACTAAATGATTAGTATCAAATCTAAATCATTAAATATTTATAATAAATAATTATTAGTGATTATGACTAAATCATATTATTATTAAATCATTAAATATCAAATCATTAAATTAATAGTAATTATCAAATCATTATTAGGTTTATTAGTAAGCAATCAATCAAGTTAAATAATAAATTTTATTTGATCATTAATATAATAGTATATTATATTATATTTAATAATTTATGAAATTATCTTATCTAATTTTTTAACCTAAATTAATTTATTTTTTTATTTGTAGAGAAAATGAGCAACAACTTTTTCACGATTGTTCATTATAATGGACAGATTATGGAAAATGAGGTCGGAGTAGTTTTTCAGTCTGAAAACCCAATAAATATGATGTTCAAAAAAGACATCACATTTATAGAAATGAAGCATAAGATAGAAAGAAAAATTCGAGCTGCAGTTGATGGTTTGAGGTATAGGTTTATGATATGCTCTAACCCAGTCAGATATGCTGCAGTTCCACTTGAAGAAGATGATGATATTGGAACCATGGTTGGATTACATGAGTCAACCAATATAGCAGTTATTGAATTATTTGTTGATGTGTGTAACATATGTGATGTTCCTGGGTCATCAAGAGGTGTGGCTCAAAATCCATCTGAAATGGCTTTATATAGTCAGTTTGAGGAGCCGACATACAGGTTCCCGAACAGTTTTATGGCACTATTGGAAAGTGTAAATGAAGTCGGGGGGACATCTACAGCAGCAGAGTATGAGACGAGAAACATACCGGAATTGGTTGTTGATATTGACACTGAAAATCGATGGGGAGAAATTCATGATGATTCAAGCGAAGATGAAGAAACTGAAGAACCCGTTTTGGGCTGCGACGAAAATATTTTTTGTGGAGGTACAATTGATGAAGTTCCGACACCGTATGAAGCTACTCCTCACATGTACGAGATAGACTATGATGCAATGAGGGCACCTGAATTCCCAGACATGCCACATTTACCTCCGTACCAAATGACTGAATCATTCGATAATTCTGGTGAATTTTCAGTTGGGGTGCAATTCAGAGGAAAAAATGAAGCTACGCTGGCGATTAAAGAGTACTGCATCAAATGCCATGTTGATGTCCATGTTGCAGAGTCCAACCAGAAAACCCTATACGCAAAGTGTGTAAAATATGGCCCAGAGTGCAAGTGGAAGATCAGAGTGTCGAAAAATCAAAGGCACGATGTTTGGGTCATCACGAGGTACAATGGTTCGCACACATGTTTGCGAAACTCCATCGAACAAGACCACCGACTATTGGACTCCGATGTAATATGTGAATACGTGAAGGCGATGGTTGAAAAGGATCCAAGGATATCTTGTTCAGTGTTAGCTGCATCTATTCGAAGCCAATTTGGATATCAAGTAAAATATGGCAAGGTGTGGAATGCGAAAATGAAGGCAATGAAGTTGACGTATGGAGATTGGGATACATCGTACAATGAGCTACCACATTTGCTACAAGCAATGAAGCGATTTATCCCAGGAACTATAGTGAAGTCTCAAACCATGCCCGCATATGACGAAGAAGGTCAACTTCTGCCAGGGAAGAAAATATTTCATAGACTATTTTGGGCATTCAAGGCATGTATTGAAGGATTTCCATTTTGAAAACGTATGATCCAAGTAGATGGTACGTGGTTGTATGGTCAATATAGGCATGTACTTTTGATGGCAGTTGCTCAAGATGGTGAGCGAAATATCTTCCCAATTGCATTCGCCATTGTTGAGGGAGAGACAACAGAGGCTTGGGATTTCTTTCTGACCAATCTACGTCAATATGTCGTTCGTGAAGATGGAGTTTGCTTGATATCCGATAGAGGAACGGGTATTTTGGCGGCAATTGAACGACCAGGAAGTCGTTGGATACCTCCGTATGCATATCCGACATTTTGTATCCGTCATATTGGCAAGAATAGTATCGACCAGTTTCATAACGCACATATTCGTAGCGATATAGTCAGCATGGGTAAGTTTTATTTTCAATATTTATGTATTTTTTACGTGGTTTTTTTAATTGCGGTTTAACACAATATATTATTGAACAGGATACGAACTACGTCGACCAAATTTTGACAAGAGATTGGAGAATTTGAAGTTATTTTACGATGATCAGCGTGTTTGGAAGTGGGCTTCAAAAATACCGCGGGAAAAATGGTCGTAAGCATACGATGAAGGTTGGAGATACGGATATATGACCACAAACCTTGTTGAGGCCATTAATTCGGTACTAAAAGGTACACGCCATCTCCCAATAGCGAGTGTGGTGAAAGAGACGTACTTTAGACTGGGTAAAGTTTGGTCGGACAAAGGCAAGGAAATTGAGAGTCTCATAAATAGAGGTAAAACTTGGGCTCCTACAGTGGTGGAATCAATGGAAGCAAATGAGCGATTGGCAACATCAATGGTTGTTCATAATTTCGACCGAGTTGGTCATACTTTTGTCGTGTCGTGCATACGTCGTAACGTCGGAGGAGAAGACCAAACATTTAGAGTTGATTTACGACACAAATGGTGTGATTGTGGTCGTTTTCAGGCATGGAAATATCCATGTGCTCATGCAGTCGCTGCATGTATGTATGCTGGTGTAAGCGCATACACTTATGTTGATGAATGCTTCCACCTACGTAGGATATTAAATGTCTACAGCTATGTGTTCAGACAGATCCCGAATGAATCATATTGGCCCAAAAAGGATCATGATGAATGGCTACCAAATCCAATACTTCGCAGAAGTCCAAAGGGTCGACCTGAGTCCACTCGAATTCATACCAGTATGGATTTTCATGCTATAGAGAGAGGTCAAGCAAAGAGATGCGGATTATGTAGTGATGAAGGCCATTCAAAAAATAATTGTCCTAATTTACCAAGATATAGGCCTCATCATTAGTAATCATATATGTATTTCTATGTATTTATTAATCATTATAAAAATGATTTAATAATGATTTAAATATTTAATGATTTGATGATTTAGTAATGATTTGATAATAATCATTATAGTAATGATTTGATAATAATCATTATAATAATGATTTAGTAATAATCATTATAAAAATGATTTAATAATGATTTAAATATTTAATGATTTGATGATTTAGTAATGATTTGATAATAATCATTATGGTAATGATTTGATAATAATCATTATAGTAATAATTTGATAATAATCATTATAATAATGATTTAATAATGATTTAAATATTTAATGA